GTGTATCACCCCAAGGTGGTGAAGGATAGAGATGCGGCGCGGCTGATATTGCTGGCGCTGCATGTTCTTGCGGCTATGTTGCCCGTGAGCACCCCCGAGGAGTGGGAGGCCACGAGGAAGCTACGAGGGAGCGGAAGGGTTAGTGAAGCTGGAGCTGTTAGTGAGATTGGGTTTGAGAACGAGATGGCGGAGAGATTGATGCGCAGGGTGGTGAGGGCGGTTGCGTATAGGGTCTCCCATGAGGGTGACCATGTCGCGGACTGGATAAAGGGATACTTTCAGAGATGTGGGGCGTTACAGGAGGAACGAAGGCAGAGGGTATTGTCGCAGGAGCTCGGCGAGGAGCTGGCAAAGCTTTCGAATAGCGGGAAAGGCGGCTGGAGCTTGAGCGTGTGTACGCTGGAGTGGTGCCGAGCAGTATTATTGAAAGCATGGGATGGACAGGAAACGGCGAAACGGGGAAGTGTAGTAGCGTCGTCTTTGGTGTTGCTGGATATCCTTCGTAAGTTACAATTACTCAACTTTGCTCATGTGTACGATACTGACTGTACATGGCAATCAAGACGAGGACCACAAATCCTACGGGCTAGAGCCAGAATATTTCTACACTCCAGTTCTCTCAGACCGTTACGATGCTAAAGACATGCCCGTGGAATGGTTCAACGCCACCCCCGACCCCAAAATCGTACATTTCCTCGAATACCCCTTCATCTTCCCCCCGCACGCAATCGTCACCTACTTCCGCGCCGTCAACCTCTACCACATGTCCAAGGCCTTCGACAAGTCCATGACGATGGTACGCCTGACGCACCAGATGTCCGTCGGAAACACTATCTTGAACCCCAGCCTGGAGATCCAAAACCTCATGCGCAAGATGCGCGTCGCACTAAACATGTATCTCCTCGTCGAGGTGAACCGCGAGACCGTCCTCGAGGACGCCCTGAACCAGATCTTCCGGCGCGAGCTCCGGGAGCTGCAACGGCCGCTCAAGGTGCGCTTCTCGAATAGTGGCGAGGAGGGAGTCGACCACGGCGGCGTACAGCAGGAGTTCTTCATCATCTCGATGAGGGAGGCACTGAGGCCGGATTATGGCATGTTCACGACGGACGAGAGGAGCAGGATGAGCTGGTTTAGTGTGTGTCCCGTGGAGCCGATACACAAGTTTGAGCTACTGGGACTCCTGGTCGGGTTGGCCGTCTATAACGGCGTCACACTGCCAGTCACGTTCCCGAGAATCCTGTACAAGAAACTTCTGGGGATGGAGGCGACCTCACTGGACGACATCAAAGACGGCTGGTCCAGCCTCGCCAGCGGTCTCCAGGAGCTCCTCGACTGGGGCCAAGGCGACGTCGGCGACGTCTTCCTGCGGACCTACGACTTCTCCTACGAGGCCTTCGGCGCCGTCAAGAACGTCAACATGCTGAATGCCAAAGAAACGGGACTCGAGTTCCTCGAAGACAAGATCGCGCGGCCGCCCGCCTCGAGCAAGCAGAAGAAGGAGAAGAAGGAAGAGAAGAAGTTCGAAGCGGACACGGTCGAGGGGCTGTTGGACTGGCTCCCGGTCCCTGTGGAGCAGGAGAGGGATCCGTGGCTGGGCGGGCTGAACGAGGTGCTGGATGTGCTGAATCGGGCGGAGAGCCCGGAGAGACCAGAGAGCCCGGAGAGCCCGGGGAGGCAGAGGGGGTATGAGATTACGCTGACGGAGTGGCCGGGGGAGGATCCCTGGGAGGATGTGGAGGAGGCAGAGAGGCGGCAGAGCTTGGGTGTAGATGCGGCTGCAGCTGCAGCTGCGGTGGGCGAGTCGGAGAGAGCGGGCGCGGGTGAGGCGGAGGTTGCAGATGAGGTGGAGGAGTCGTCGAGAACTGGCGTTGAGATGTCGTTTGTGGAGCTCACGGCCGAGTCGGTGCAGGAAGAATCCAGGGCAAAGGACGAAGAGCTGGCGAAAGCAAAGGCAGAGGCGGAAGCATCAGCATCCAAGGCCGAGGCCGAGGCATCTGCAGAAGCGGCGGCCGCCGCCGCGGCAGACGATACAGCTGGGGAGAAAGAAGGCGAAATGTACTTGGATGGAGAGCGCAGCTCCGACACCTCCGATGCTAGAGACATGCCGGAAGGATCATCTAGATTCACTGAGAGTTGGCATGAAGCGGAGGAGGAAGCGGAGGAAGCGGAGCTGGTGACGAATAGCAACCGGGAGCAGTATGTGAAGGATTACATATCATGGCTCACCGACCGGTCAATCCGCCGCCAGTACCAGGCGTTCGAGAAGGGTTTCTTTGCGGTGCTTGATCCCAAAGCACTGGGTGTATGTTGCCATATCCCTCTTTCTAATATCTGGCCAAGTTTGCTAATGTGTCGATTATAGCTCTTTACTCCTGCGTCGTTACAGAGTCTGGTCGAGGGCAACCAAGAGATCGATATCGAAGAGCTCGAGAAGACAGCGCGATATGACGACGGCTATGGGCCTGAGCATAAGACTATCCGCGACTTTTGGAGCATTGTTAAGGGCTTCAATAGTGTCAAGAAGCGGCAGCTGCTGGAGTTTGTCACAGCGAGTGATAGGGTCCCCGTTAATGGGATTGGGAGCATCATGTTCTATATCCAGCGGAACGGGCCGGATACTGATGTAACTCTTCCCTCTCCCCCAAATTCTGGATAAATAAGCTGACGATTTTTTTTGCAGAGGGTCCCAACTAGTTTGACCTGTTTCGGCAGATTGCTGTTGCCCGAGTATAGTGGCCGCAAGAAGCTGAAGGAGAAGTTGAAATTGGCGCTGGAGAATGGGAAAGGGTTCGGTGTTCCGTGATTTTTCTTTTTCTTTTTCTTTTTTATGTATATGTTGTTTTGTTTTCTTTCTTTGCTTTCCTTAAACGTATCTCACCTCCCTTCGTTTTCTTTTTTTATTACCATTGTTGCCAGTGCGCCAGCGGCGTTCATTGGGGGGCTGTATTCAGTTCTTCCCTCTCTCTTCTCTTTTGTCGTTTAGCTTCGTTTTCTCTCTCTCTCCAATTGCATACATACCCCTTCCTCCCTTTCTTCTTCCTCCCTTTCTTTTTCATTCTCAATCGTTTAGTATAGCCACTCCCTTTTCTTCTCTCTCTTTCTTTTCTTCTTTTCCGGGTTTTTTCCAAAAAGCAAAATCGTTATGATGGTTATCAAAGTTACTATCGGAGTTCTTTTTTATATCATATTGTGTTCTCGGACGGTGTTTTTTTTTTGCTGGGAGCAGGGCTGCAGGGCTGGGATTGGGGGATTGGGGGATTGGGGGGTCATGTACGTATTAGTAGACCACAGTGACTGGAGGCAGAAGTTCACTACGTCTGGTCGTTCTTAATAGAGTGTTTTTGAATATATATATATGTTCTGGCATTAAGGAGTTGTTGTCTTGGGATGCTGTGGTCCTTGTGTGAATATTGTCAAGGTGGGTGCAGATAGTTGACGTGACAAGGCACTTGTATGTTTTATGGTGGATGATTTATATTTTATTTTTCTACTTTGGCTCTCTATTTATAGTAGTGAAACGTTTCCTACAGACTAATAGAGAGTTTCGGAAAGTGAAAATTATGCTGCCCTTTAGTGAAATAAACGGACAATCGAAGGGAATTTATACTGCTTGAAAGGAGATTTTGCCATAAGAAATGAAGGAAGGTAATTTCAAAAAATGACTAAAAGAAATAAAACAGACTTATTGCTCAGCTTTTGTCTTCCCGAACCCTGTTCCAGCAAATATGTGGTGTATGTAGGTACATGAGTCGTTTTATGTGACTGCTATGAGACGATTCATCTTCTGCGACTGAGTCTTCCATGAGAGGCTGCTTAGGAGTGCCAAGGATTGGTAGTCGTAGAGTAGAGAACACAGAATTTAGAATACCTCCCAACCGCAACCATGAGCTCTCTATACATGCAGTATCTCATTCTAAACGACTAGTCTCAGCTTTGTGACAACTAACCGGCCCCAGCTAAATATTATCAGAAGAGTACTGCAGGCTTTTCTGGAACCTCCCAACGTTTCTTGGGATTTCATTTTTCTATGCTTATTCATGTATTATCACTCGGTCGAGGGAAAGGCTTGAATAGGCCTAGCTTCTGTGCGCCCCGGGGACCGTCTCGAACACCAGGCTCATGTGTAACACCAACCTTTACACTATACAGTGGTAGGTACATATCTCACCCGTCATCTTGGATAGCTAGCTGCTTTTTCCCGCGAGATGCTCATACTCCCTACAACTGCAAGTGGTGAAAGCTTTGGTGTTCGTTCCCCGATGTAGCACCGGATATATATTGTAGTATTACGTAGAGATATGTACTGATGAACCGCAATAGTGTATTACAATTTACAAACACTGTTGCGCCAGAGAGATACATTATAGTTATAGTATAGGTATTTCAGTACGAATACTAAGTAGTAGCTAGGGTATTTAGAGATAACGAAGAAGAAGAAATAGAAGAAAACACTTAGTACTTAAGTTTAGAATTTAACCACTAAACATGAAATCCACAAAGAAATCCACACGATAAAAAGTGAATGAGAAGGGAAAAAAGGAAGAAAAAAGGTGCGATAAGGCCCGTTTGAATCTTGAACCCCTGTTCCAAAACCCAGAAGATAAAACAATATGACTCGACTCCCCGAGTAAAAAAGAGGAAGAAAAAATACAAAAGAAAATCAGACGACGAAGGTGATCTCGAAATATCAGGAGGGTATTTCAGCAGATGACTATGATGCTTTCAACGAAAGAAACCGAGGAAAAGGGAAAAAAGTTTAAGGGGATACTCTGTTTTAAATATTACAGTAGAAAATGGAAAAAAAAAGAAGATGCAGCGAATATGTAAGAAAGTTTAGCACTGAAAATAAAAAGAAAGAGAAGAAACAAAAAAACTCGAACAAGAATTCACATGACGGTCATATGCAACTTTAAGAAAAGCCCATTATCAATATGCACCAAACCAACATCAACTCATGAAGAAACCTCCTCAAAAAAGTTTAAAAAAGAAACCACCTAAGCCTAAATCATGCCTGCAGGTGCGCCACCAGAGGCCTCCATACCCTTGGGAAGCTTGGGGACAGTTGGGCTTCTCGCCAAAGCTTCCTTCCTGGCACGCGCACTGAGTGCCCCACCATCGCTAGTAGACTTTCGGAGCTTGCCTCCAGTCTTCTTTACCTTTGGTGGTGGGTCATCAGTGAAGGATGAACGCTCAACCTCATCATCAGTGTGGTGACGCGGCATCATAGGGCTCCCTGTTGGTAGCGCAGGAACTTCCTCAGAAGACTTGTTCCTGCCAAAGCCTGAGAATATGCTTCTGGTCTCAGTCATGCGCCTTTTACGGCCGTCCTTTTCCTTCGCACTACCCAAAGCAGGGCTGGTCTGGGTTGGGAGATCAACAGTAGGGATGTTGGAGGTTGAAGAGATGAGCTTGGGATCACCAATTTTACTCTTATCGACAACCCGCTTCTTGGCCGGAGCAAATCCAGCGTTGGAGTTTGCAATGGATTGGATTAGAGCAGCTGGAGGAGACTTTGATGAGATAGCAGATGCCGGAGTAGTGTTGGTACTACTACTTGTCGCCTGGGAAAACGCAGGCGAATGATCCATAGTTATCGCAGAGTTTGGTGTAGATGATGCTTGAAGGTGTTGGGTAGGAGGTGAGAGTGCGGATGTGTTTAACGGTGGTAGAGGTGTATTATCAAAAGTTCCCCTCCTTTGTCTCATTGTTGGTCCCGAAGAAGCATTGCTGTTTCCCCTGGGCCGTCTGAACTCGGATCCATGTGGCTGTCCGTCCCTGTCAAAGGACTGCTTTTTGTGTAGCCCGTTACCCATTGGTCCATGGTTCATGTGGCCATTGTTCATTCCAGATCCAGGTGGTGGACCTCCATGGCGTCTCGGTTCCTGGTCTCTGCTCTGTCCTTGGCCTGGTCTATGCATATCTGGACCACCCATCCGTGGCATACTAGGTTGTTTACGTATACCATGATGGCCGTCCCTTTGTGAGACCGGGCTGCCGGGTTGAGTACCAGGCGCCGACCTTGGCTGAGGGTAACCCTCCCCATCATCTCTCCATCCCATCGGCTGCCCTCTCCTAGTATTCTGCTCACCGTTACCGTGTGCATCGTTCCTTTGGTCACGGGTTGACCTTTGCCTGGGTCTGGGGGTAATAATAGGTGAATGGAGGGGGTGCGGGAGACCCACGGGTGATCGTGGCTTAGGGCGGTTCTCGTTTTGCAAGTTTGTGTTCAAACGTGCAGGGTTAGGAGGAGGAATATGATGATGAGAGTGTGGTGGATGCTGTTGCGTTGGATAACCCCCGGGAGGAATGTTCTTTGGTCCTCTGACAGTTTCCCTGAGCCGTCTTTCTTCTTCGGTTCTTCTCTCGGCCTCACTGCTATTCATCCTGCTCCGACTTCCCTCCTTTCGCATCCCAGGGCCGGGGGAATCACGACCACTTCTCGAAGGATCGTTCTTGGAGATTATTCCATTGGAACCCTTCGATCTGAGAACACCAAATCCACTGCCAGATCCGCTATTCTTCCCTTGTTGACCTTTGATGTCTGGCGGGAAATCCAGCTCATGTTGGCTGTTGACCTTTTCGTGATTTCTAAGGTTCTGCTGGATTATTTGGCGTCTAAAAGCCAACTGCTGCTCCCAATCCTTATCGTTGTCATCCTCTCCCGCAGGACTATCCCTATCCCGTTCACTGGCTCTACTCATAGCCCTATCCCTCTCACTCATCCTACTATCTGCCCTCCCTCTAGACCTCTCTCTCTCTCTGGCTAAGTCTTCGTCATCTCTTCTTTCTTCAGACCTCGTCCTACCCGGGTCTTTTTGCGGGACTGCAGGCGTTGGTGGGTTGTCACTGATAGTCGATGGGCTCGACCCCCCCCGCGCAGGCCGTCATCCTCTCCAAAGTAACCGCCATCCCAATCATCGAACTCCCAAAGGTTCCCCCCACTACTCCCGGAAGTAGCACTAGGCCTTGGCGCATCGGGTTCTTTGGAGCTCTTGGCCGCTGCTGCCCCTGGGCCATAGTTTGAAACACGTGACATGCGTGTGTATGTAGACCCTGCGTATACTGAAGAATGACCAGAATCTGTACGAAGATGCTGGCGAACGAGCATACTAAGGCCTTGACCCGGTGGAAGGGTTGGAGAGTCATCCTCAGATGATGGCTGCATATCGGCCGAAAACTTGGGCGAAGTGGGCGAGATTGCTGGATTCCGGAGTGGTTGGCTGGGACGCATGAAGTCATCTGAAGTCCTTGTGCTAAAAATTGGCGAAATTGGGGAAACTGGAGACACTGGAGATGGCGGCTCTACTTCCACGTATTCGGAATCCGTTGGATGTGCTCCAAAGTTCTTACGCGGGTGTAGAGGCGCAATATTGTCCAAAGAATTTCGAGAAATAGGACTGGTCTTACCATCTGCCCTGTAACTCTCCTCTTGATCGTCATAACTCGAATCACTCGCCGAGCTCCGCATAGACAAAAATGTTTTTGAACTTTTCTGTCCATACTGGTCGTTGATATCACTCATTGGCGAAGCCCTGATTTGTAAGTTTAGCTTATCGGAGCTCGGATTTCTTTGCGGTTGGTCTCTCGAGAGGATTCCAGGACTAAAAGGTCCCTGTGTAGGAAATTGAATTGCACTGGCAGATACCGGAGGGCTAATTGGTGATTGCGACCTGGGCTCTAACCCAAAGTTGAACTGTGCCATGTGCGGTGACAGTGACTGCCCAAGTTTTTGCCCCTGTTTTACAGTTTCTTCATTATCTTGTTCATCCTCATCCTCTTCTGGTGTAGACATCTGAGAATCTGGGCTCTTCTTGACATTTACGGACCATTGAGGGGTTTGTTTTGGGGATGTTGGCGACGAGGGCGAGGTATTTGGCTGCTGGAAAAGCCCTGGGGGACTGAAGCTTCCCTGGTAGCTGTTCGCTGGAGGCGGGCTAACAGCTGCCTTTCGCAGGGAAGCCAACCTTTCTAGCCTTCCAACTGCTGTCGTTTGCTGCTCCTGTAACTGTTGGTCCAAAGCTTGTTCATATAGCGCTTTACGAGGTTTGGTCGCAACAGGAGCCACAGGAGGGGGGGAGGCCGGTGCTGAAGCTTGGGTGGTCCCAGATGGGCTCCTATTGGATGCTACGGATGTTGCAGCAGTCGAAGAACGAGTAATGGTGGTAGGAGCAGAGCCCGTGGAGGAGCTTGTGTTTCTGTTTCTGTTATAATCTTCACCTCCATTGGTCTCCTCTGATTCGTGCTGCTCTCTTTTATGCTTCGGCATTCCAAATCCCTCCGGAACGTCGTGGCTTCCAACAGATCTTCCGCCCATAGCGGGCCCCGGATTCGAATCATCCATAGAGTCCTTCCCACTAGTATAGGCATTTGGCACCCGATACACTTTCTGCCTTCCTCCAAAGAGGACATTTCCCTCTCCACCCCTGGAACGATTCATGATGCCACCGGACTCATCTGAACCTACAGATTCTTCCGACTTTGTAGTTAAACGGTTCTGCTGAACTGATGTTGTCTCGGCGATGGATGATGTTTCGGTGATTTCACCCATGGGTGTGAATTGCGGTGGATTTGTAAAGATAAAACCGTCCATCCCATCACTCGCGGTCCCAATCGGTGCATTGGGGTTCACCCCTCCATTAGCTGCTGCTGCCGCAGCAGCAGCGGCCATTTCCTGTTGTAAGATACTGAAACGCTGTGCTAAGTTCGGCATCAATAGGGAAGTCCGAAAGTCATCCGAAGCAGGCAGCGCATGTTCAAGGTCAAGCTGGGGTTTTGGAGGAGGCTCTGGGGTTCTCCCCCACTTGAAAGGGTTATGACTTGTAGTGGGAGTTGGCTGAGGGACTGGAGGGACGCCCTCTTCATCTTCCTTCTTCTTTCCTTTACGAAGACGATGCATTATTGTTGTAGGTTTATATTTAGTGGTGAGCTAGTGATATGAAGAAGGGTAAGGGTGTATTTGGTGTATGGGTCTAACGAAATTATTCAACTGAGTATAGCTAAGGATTGTGAGAACTCGTGATGAGAACGAGCGGTAAACAGCGAAAGGTATCAAGAACCTATTTGCCCTAATTTCGCTGATTGTGGAGAGGAATTAGTGAGAACGTGCTTGTTTAGTAATAGAGAGAGTGTAAAAGAGTTGTTTCCCCTTGTCGCTCGCAGCAGAGATTCCCTTACCTCGGTACTTAAGATATGTATTATTCTTATTATTCTTCCAACGATTAAAGGGAGCAACTAGACCGCTGAATGGAAAGGAGAATCGGCCGAATTGTTCGCGAGAAGCAGAAAAAAAAATAAACAAGTAGATTATCTAAGATCTCCCTGTAATCAGTACATGAATGCGTGTGTGTGCGCGCATAGCAATTCCTGTACGAGAAAGGGTCCAACAGAGTAGAACCCAGGTAGCTCTACATCTGAAACGCGAAGGGTATAGAAGAAGAAGAAGCAAAAAAAAAGAAACCAAACCGGGGTTAAGGAAAGTTAATGTATGTACTATACTAACCTTGACAACTTCCGTCCGTCCTGCTGCTGGTGGTGCCTGACCTCGAGAACTCACAGGATGCACAAGAAGAGAAGTGAAAAGGCTCGGGAAAGTAAGAGTACCTGAAGCAAATGTAGTCACCCGAATGATCGACAGGGGCACAATTGCAAGCAAGAAGAGTAAAATGGGATAGAAATAACCCCGCTACTAGGCGAGTTCAAATAGTCAAAGTCGAGAAGAATGGGTAAATCCGGGCCGACAGTGAATTCTGGAGTGAACAGAAGGGAAGATGAGTGAAGGCAAAGAGGGTTTAGATGAAGAGATGATATAAATAAGTAGACGACAGATGAAACGAGTGAGAGTATAAGACTGCGTGCAAGAGAGTACAGCAATCAGTTGGAAGCTTCAATGAAGGACCGTCAGGTGTAAGTTTGTGCGCGATTCACTACCAGGTATGTAGGTGTAGAAGTAGTAACTAGCGGTAGTCCAGACAGACAGTCAGTCAAGTCAGCGTCAATCGTCTTGACAACGCTACTAGTACTTAGCGCAACGGCGGGCAAAGGACCGATATTAGTGAGGAAGGTCACAAAAGAAAGGGATAAAGGGAAGAGAGAGAGAAGCGAAGAGAAAAAGAGAAAGAATGTGAAAAGGGTTGACCAAAGTTCCAACTGCGGAAGCTATGATCAGTCAGGGAACTAGAAGTATTAGATTCGGTAGTATCTCTCTCTTGCTCCTCTGTCTATCGACAAATTAGATGCTCGGAACCGAAAAAGCACAACACGAACTAGCCAGCCAGCCAGCAGCCTGCGAGTGCAAAAACCACCATTACCACCCACGAAAGTCCCATAAGATTGGGAAATTGAAAGATTTGCCGCAAGGACTGGAGGGGCATTCCCTATTTCGGCCAATGGGTATAAACCTCCCACCTAGGATCTAATCCCGGGGAATAATCTGGTCTCGTTTCATCTACCCCGGCCCGCTCCACTGAACAACCGAGATGCCCGTGAGTGAGGAGTAATTGAGTCCAGTTCTAACTTGAACTCTCCTCCCCCAGACGCCTTCTTTCTCTGCCTGAGCGCTTCAGATCTCATGGCACGCAAGAGCCAAGTCGCTGACGACACTTAGGTGCTTGCGAATAGGCAAACAATCGACCAAAGCTGGGGAGATAACGATGAGCAACGTTATGGCATCAATTGGTCTGCAGCTCATGCTGATTCGCAGCTGGTGGCAACATGGTGATCCATCGCTCCCAAAGAGCCAACCAATTCACGATGTTGTCTAGGATGGTTCAACAGCAACGTCCAACCCTGTGCTTATGTTCATGTGCACAGCTGGGCCCCCAAAACAACGCATAACCGTTCGTCTCCTTTCAACAAAGATTATCTTACCGGGTTATCAACGCAGTACTCAAGGACCAGCTTCTTGTAAAAAAGAGAAGGAATTTCTCCATTTTTATTTTTATTTTTTCATTTTATCTAAAGGCGAAATTCTAGTACACATGCATGTCACACCTTCGCCCCGCCCCTCCCGACCCATGAACCCAAAGCTAGGGAAGCGAACAGGGTTATGTCGAATGGGGAAAGGAAGAGGAAGAAGGGAAAGGAGAAACCCTCAAGAAGATAAGGCACAGTATCTAATCACTTCACTTGCCGAAGAACATGTTCTTACTGGCTGTATTGTGAGCTGTTGAAACCCTCGTGATCTCGAAGGATTCTATCAGAGGCTTAACGTCTGAGCGCAGGTTATCCACATCTCTAAAAAGATTCGATGTCATCCCGCGCCGCAAGCTCTTTGAAACAAACAGCTTAAGCAGCCAATTGTCCCCCATACATAGCATGGCCTCGCCCCAAGATAAAGCCCAACCAGAGCTGAAGAAACTCATGCCCAAAACCCCGTCAGCACCTTACCAAAATACTAGTGGAGACAAGAGCATCGATCAAGCAGGCGAACCCCTTCAATTTCCTCTTTGAGGTTTAATTGGAGGCTACAGGGATGGGCCACTTTCATGCAAGGTACGATGAGATGCTTGGCAGCGTCTCCTGCAAGGGGCTTTGCGCCAAGACAGCCCGGTTCTGTTCAGTTCAGGAACGCCTTGATCTTGACAACGTCTTTTATCCTTACCAAATCAACCTCAAGCCGAAACTGTCAACCAGGATTCTTCATTACAGTAGCATATCTAGGTATCTAGGTATGTGAATCTGTAGGTACATACAAAATATATAGGGTAGTGGTACTACCTTCTCTCAAAGATCGGTTCCACAGCATTTCTCGAAGGCCGATAATTACCTACTGTGCCCCCTTTCCAGTAAAGGGAGCGCGTAGAGAATCTCACGATCCTATTCACGAACAAGAAAACCATGCGTTGCGGGACATGCCACCTATTTGTGCACATAGCATAAATCTATTAACTACATTCTCGTTGCCAAAAAATGGCATTTCGGCGCACAAAAGAACCCCGATCCGGGCGAATTTCCCGCGTTGACAATAGCTCACCCGGCCTAGGACCCGGAGATTTCGAAAATTAAAATGAAGAGAAAAAAATAACCCTCGTGACCGTATCAGAAGGCCATATGGATCATTATGTTTTCTTTGGGCTTTAGCTTCTGAGATCGTTGTCCCTTGCACATCGCGGGGTCTACCGGCCTGTTTCTATAAAGAATCAAGGAATCCACATCTGTAAGGGTTGATGGGACCAATATCGGATGAAACAACATTCACTCCCGTAATAAAATCGCCGTAGCAATATCTTAGTGTTTTTCTGTCTCCACGTAAGTGAATGGCCTTTCCAATTTCTCCAGAGCCATTAGTATTTACACATTGCTACATCGTAGCAGACTTAGCGCACTGTAGCGCCTACATGTCCATATATGATGCATGTATATATCTATATGATCGCAAGTACCTGCCGTCTAACCGCTAACCAAGTACCTAACTCGCCCGACTAACCGTGGTCATACATGCACATTATGCAATGCTGCTGATAAGATACACAATCGCGATTAACGGAAGGGGATTTTATCTATATGAAACGTTCCTTATGAATTCTGCCAAGACTCTGGAGAAAAAAGAGAGTGGTCTGTAAAGATCGCTCGCCCCAGGATCCATGAACTGTCGGGCCGGGTGTGTACTGATTTACTAATATAAAGTGGACACACGCACATTCTGTACTGGTTATGATGGCGATTATTAAGGATTGTTCCCGAACCAAAACAAAATTTCTCATCGCGGGCTCCAGAGCTCGGTGGTGGCCTGGTCTCGACGACCACGGCAAATCTGACGAGGAAGCTGAGCTGACGGGTGTGAGACAATCAGCTGACGCAAATTGCAATCCTAAAGAAAATTTAAATGCTTATTATAACTACTGCATACTTAAAATCCCGATTGATTTATCTTCGAGAATTCTCCGGTCCTTACAATTGGTGGGTGGTGGGCGGGAATAAAAAAATAACACTTTGGATGCAGCGACCATACAAATCATCGCCCCCCCACAATCCCCCTTTGTTTCGGAACATTGTTTGTCACTTCCCGCCGCAGGGGGGAAGGATCGACTCCATCTTTGTAAATATAGACTGTGATCATAGCTTTTTGAAATTGCACTAATAGGTTTGATATGGTATGCATTCGAAGCTTAGTGAGTGTCGCCACAGCGTACGTGAAACTTCTATTGCATTACGCAATTTGGAAATTACCCCTTTTGGCTATAGTTTTGGTCTCGAGCGTGATTTTGGGGGAGGGAGGTTGAGCGTTTCTTGTTTCGAATTGAATTATTGCGGGGTGATAACTAGTATATAGGTACCTACTGATAAGATTGAAGGCTCCCTCGATTTGATAGTTTGAACAGTATGTTTGTGTAACGTGAAATCACTGGCCTTAATATTTCCGGTCGCTTGTTCAACGGGGACACTGGGCTGCTATTGGTGCACCTTATGTACCTATGCGTCATCGAGTTAGGTTGCATTCAATCATAAGCTATCACTCGAATATGTTCCACAACTGTTGCTTCATGTATTTCTTAGACGGTGAGTCCATGTTCGAACATAAACTAATGATCAACCATGGAGTTCCGGTAATGTTAATGCACTCACAGCGTTAACTCAGATGTCAGGTCCGAGGGATCAGCGATGAAGTGAAACGTCTCAAGAACAGCTGCAGTCTCGCTTTTTAAAAACATCTCGCCAATAGCGATTCTTAGAGATACTGTTATCAGACAGCGAAAACGAAATCATAAGTAGTCCATATACACAAAGCATCTTTATCGGCCAGGGCTCCGCTCGCTTATCCAGTTTTTGAGGGATAACCTAGGCTGTCTCACGAAACCTCATTCGGCGCCGAGGCCAGAAGTCTCAGAAAGCGCCAAGACGGCTCGGTCTTGGTGATCCTAAGTCTTATGAGGAACAACTCCCGGATATAGAGTAGAG